TCAACGCAACTGACCCGAGCTCTGTGTCTCTAGAGGAATACAGAGACTGGTTCAGTCACCACAGCTCCACGCTGGGTCCTAACATCACCGACTGCAGCCTGGAAGAGGAGATGAACAAGGTATCATTTACATTTAATCTGAATTAGTTTTTGATTTAATATTGGGGTTGTAAAGAGATACAATGAGAGTCAGAAAACAAACGAATCAAAGCATAAACTTAAAACAGTTAGCATGGACAACAAGAATAACAGGTTGGTGTCCAGCACTAAGATACAGGGTTAACCTGATTGTGGTTAATTGTTAAAAGCAAGACTTTCGAAAAGCTGTTTTACCCATCAAGTATCATGAACACTTTGGAGGCCACAACATTTCCAAGAACCAAAAAAATTGAATAAAATAGATTTGGCTACTTTTTGAGTTGCAGGACACAGGCTTGCTTAAAAAAACACCAGGGTGGTATACTACGAAGCAAGATTTTCGCTTAGCCGGCTAACTTCAGGGAAAACTCGGGGTTTCCAGTCCTACGAAGCTGGTTCTCTTTTTAGTAGGCTAGATCTCCATGGTAACTTATGCTGGTAACCAGGGGGGTATACTACAGGAAAGACGGCCAGCAAAAATCACAGACTGTATGAACGTGAACATTAATAGAATATCACCTCCCATCTTCAGAGCAATCTGACTATTATAACATTAGCGTTAAGAAAGCTTACTTAAATATCTGCCACCACATAAGTAACCGGATCAGAGTAACATTAAGTAGGCTACAGTCCGCGGCATATCACATCATAATGTCATGTCCATGTTTGTGATTGGTCGAATGCTCCAAATACCACCCCTTTCACGTGAACGCGCACCTAACTAGATAGGACATGGCTGGCTTGAGCGATCCACTTGATAACCCGCGTCGTAGGACCGTTGAGCGAGAACGCGTATGTTTTGGATTAGGCCAACCGGCTAACTCAAACATATCCAGGTTAGGTTGAACCAGCTTCGTAGTACAGGCCTCAGGTATTCAAACATAGGTGGATATCTCAATAACAACAGTAAGAAGTTGTGGTGCTGAGAACCCCTGAGGAACCGGTGAGGTAATATCCAGCAGGCAATAGTAAGAAAACACGGGACAGACCATGTAGTAGGTCTAAATGAGAGATGAAAGCAAGCTGTGATAGAGGAGTGGAAGGAGGAACTAAAATAACAGAGGCAGGGTCACTACAAGTCATGTTATCTAATATCTTTTATTTTACTACAAAACATTACTCCACTCCCTACTGCGGGGACTACAGCATGGCTTCTTGTATAGTGCTATCAGATTATAACTATAAATAGGGGTCCAAAAACTGACTTTTAAGAATGTTGTTTTCTCCTTGCCACTTAATATTTATTTGCAATCTTCAGTCAATGTTTACAAAATCCTTATTCCCTCTCTGTTTTCCCTTTTGTATGATGCAGGGTATTGAAGGGACAGGCCTGGCATTCATAGCGTTCACTGAGGTGATGGCCCTTTTCCCTGCCAGCCCCTTCTGGTCCACACTGTTTTTCCTAATGCTGCTCAACCTGGGCCTCAGCACCATGTTTGGGACCATGCAGGGAATCCTCACACCTCTCATGGACAATTTTAGCCTCTTGGGCCGCCACAGAACCATCCTCACTGGTAACAGGAGGCTCAATGTTATAGGCATTTTGTTTTAAAGCAACTCAAGTCCAGGAATTTGTGGCTAAAATGAAGATCTCTACAGTTAAATGTGAAAATTCTCTCTTAAGCGGGACATTTTGATGTCTGTATGTGTAGTGCTGTCAGTGTTTTCTTACTTTTTCTTGATCTATTGCCTTCTAAAGATTACAAATATTGTCTGTTTGCAACACAATTATTAATCAGATAGCTGCTATTGTCCAACACTGTCTGCCATCTTCTTTTTGTTTCAGTTTCCAGCTGTGCTCTGGGTTTTGTAATCGGACTGTTGTTCACTCAGCGCTCAGGCAACTATTTTGTGACGATGTTTGACGACTACTCTGCAACTTTACCGTTAGTCATTGTAGTAATATTTGAAACCATTGCTGTGTCGTGGGTTTATGGAACAGATCGGTAAGGAACCAATACGTCTGACACTTTTAAATTACTTGCCTCCTGTTTTTTTAAATGTTTTTTTAATTCTTACATCTCATGTAAATATTTTCCATGATTTCAGCTTCCTGGATGACATTGAAGTCATGCTCAAGTGGCGCCCTCCGGTGGTGTACAAATATCTTTGGAAATATGTTTGTTTGATCGCGATGGTTGGTCTTCTGGCTGCTAGTTTTATGCGCATGGTTTTCAAAAGGCCCACATACACCGCCTGGAATCAAGCCACGGTAAGATACTTCACTTCTTTCTCTTCTACATAGAATATTTTTTATCTATAGCCTCTAATATTACTCACTATATAAACTTCTCTCTATATGTGTTCCCCCAACTGCACTCAATACCTTCAATAAAAACTCAAAACATTTTTTTTATTTTGTA